CAGTAGCCCGGACCGTCAGGTGGGGTTTTTCCACGACAGAGTAAAGTTAGGCACGGAAGCGTATTGGTTGTCCAAAGAAAGCTTTACTTACACTGCCGATGGTCACAGTGCAGGAAGGAAACTTGTTTGAGTTGCAGATGCACACAAACAAACACAAGTGAGATCTCTTCCAAACCGAACCGAGATGAGTCGTTGATGTATGACTCCATGAGCGCTTCACACGGGGGTACGTCAAATTTTCCACTATGACGGGGAGTGGCTAAAAGCTGATCAGGCCTCTATGTCCTCCTCCAAGACACACGTGGAGTTTGCTAGGCTCCACAGCGCGCTCAGAGTTCCCCACGAGATGGTTGTGGAGTCCTCCAACTTGGGCGGAAACTGCTCTAACCTTTTATACGGCTAGCGAGCCAATTGCTAGCCGCCACGTAGGAATAATTTAGAATTGACCAATAGTGGGACACTAATTTGCATACGTGTGGCAGGAGCTCTTTGCACCGGGGTTTTCTCTCTGCAGCTGAGAAATCCACCGTGCAAAGAAAGCTCCATGTGGTGGGAAAATTCCAATGTGCTGAGGCACTAAAAATCGTTGGGTTATGACACTTAGATTCTCTGTGTCTAATGCATGGGTAAAGAATGGGATCCACAGAGGCCAGCATGCTAAGCAAGAAGGTGTCTAAGCTAACCAGAAGGAAATGTCAAGAAGGCTAAAACTCCACCCTTTCTCAGGGTATTAGGCACCTAACTCTGGCATGGTTGGAGGTGCCACTCTTTACTCAGGTTTCAAAGCCAGAGTTAGGTGCCTTAAGCAAGTCAGTCCTCTCACATACAATCTAACCCAGAAGAAGAGGTATCTAAACCCTTTCCCCTACACCAACATGCACATGAGTTCAAGTCTAATACTTTGTGCATGTGCCTAGATTTGATACCTTAGTCCAAATCTTTCTGCCTGCTTTGGTGCAGGGATTTGAACAAATGTGTTGCATAATTCATCGAAGTGCCTTCAGAATAATAATGTTGTTCTAGCTTACATAATACAACATTAATATTCCTCATAGCAGAAAATAGAACCCAGGCAGGCTTCCAAGAGCAGTGCCCTAATCACCAGTTTAAGACTGTTTTAATACTCTGTCTCACTTGAGTCCAATTAAGTGTAGAAGGGATTTGAACCAGGTTCTTCCACATCCCTGGGAAATACTCTTACTGGACTATTGCTTAAAGAGGTGGTAAGATAGACCTCTACAGTGGCTGGACTTTGAGCAATATTTACTCAAGTAGGTATATTCTGAGAGTCCTTACCACCTGGAGACCACACAAGAAACATCTAGCATGTCAAACCTGGTGGGAGCAAGCGATGTCAGTATTACAGCTTGTTCTGCATGTTCTGGCAGAAATTTATGTGCCTAGGGAACTTTACCAGTGAATACAGGTGCATAGGGAATTGAGGTGCCTCAGGTATTAGAGAGAAGATTTTAAGGGGTTTTGAGGACCAACATTTTGAACTTCCATGCTCGACCTGTTAGTTAGGTACCTATGTCTCTTTGTAGGCTATATCCCTGGAGAGGATGCTTTTACAGCCTCATGCAGCCTCATGCAAAGCTCTATGGGGGGATTCTTTATGATAAATGTAATATTTACCTTAAATGGCAAAAATATAGTTTCATTTATGCTATCTCTCTCCACCGCTCAGAGTGAATGTTTCTTTCTGTCATAACAAACTAAGGTAATTACAGCTTAAGTAAAGCTGATGGAAGAATATGACCCTCATGCCAATGACTCAGAATAATTACCATAACCGTGACCTGTGCAAACTGACTTCAGTTTCCATTGGAGAGATGCCTGCATTGCAAATAAACAAATAAATATCCATCACAGTTGGCATCTACTGCCAATTTTGAAGGACTCAGTGGATGTAGAATCTGTCCATGTCTGCAAGAGGTCTCTACAGACTGTGGCTGGAAGATTTTGACAGGGTGACACAAGGAGCTTTGCAATTAGCTGGGTAGGAAACAAATTTACAGTCCTACAAAATTGTAAAAGATTTTTTAGATATCCCTCTTCCTCATTGTCATGAAAGCATTTTTTTTTTTTTGTGGCTGGGACAGGCATGGGGTGGAGAATAAAAGCAGTGAGAGAAAGAGAAAAAGAGACTCTTATCCACGCTAGAAAAGCTAATGGCTCTGTTGTTAAAGCACTCATCTGGGAGACCTGGCTTTAATTTTCTACTGCAACTAATTTAGATAAGGGAGATGAACCTCAGTTTCCTGCATCAAAGATGCGTCAAACCCCAAAGGCTTTCTGGGTCACATCTCCTTCAAGTAAGTAGCCATTCTACTTTGTAGAAATAATTAAACATTCTTTGGGTCAGGAGACAGACAGTGTATTCACAGTATCTGAAAAAATAGGCTGTTGCCCAAGAAATTCATGCATATCTGAAACATTTAGTCTCTAAGAGTGCCTGTACATGTGTGAGATCACTGCTCTGATGCACTCGAGCAGCCTCTGTGTCTTGTGCACTCAGCATCCCTGTACTTCAAATGGCAGTGAGGGTGCTTTAACTGAAGTCCATTGAATGAGCTTTAGGTAAAGTGCCCCTGCTGCCATTTAGAAGCACTGGATGCTGAATACACAAGATGCTGTAAGTGCTTTAATTAAAGTGGCTCTCAGAGCTGCTCTAATTAAAGTGCCCCACCCCCCTACCCTCAGAGCACAAGGAAAGATGCCCTAAGGTGCCACCTGGGCCTACCGTGTGCCATTAGTAAAGTAGGAATTCTTTATATCACAAGGTATTGTGGAACTAGATGTACCCTTTGGGTATGTCAAAATGGCAGATACAGCTGTGATGCAGTATAAGTAGGAATACCTGCACTAGTTTTAATGTAGCTAGAATAAGTAATAATCTTAGTAAAGATTAACTCCTTGGGCCTTTAACCCAAGGAGTCTTGTACAGCCAGTGCTGCCATATATTCTAATTCTTGTTACTTGTGCCTACTAGACTAAAGCTAGAATGGTAGGCCACTTTAATTACACCTTCATTTTTTATGTAGCCTTGCTACCATGTTTATCAGCCACTACACAAACCCACAGCTTGTAGAGGTAATAAACATACTAAACACCTAATAGCAGGTCACTGCAAGTTCATATCAGTGGATGCAAAGGTCTTTTGGGGTCAACTTTACTCCCAGTCCATTTTTTGCAGCATCTCAGAACTGCTTACCTCTTGGCATTGCTGCTTCAACCCTTGAAGCTTGAGACTGTTTTGTTTCCAGGGCTATGCTGGCACCAGATACAATTATGTTCCCTCCCTCTTGCCCTGCTCAGTATATAAACCTTCATGACTGCTGCTGAATAAACAGCACATTTAAGAAAAACAACTAAAGTAAAATAAAAATTGTTTTCATCTTATATATATCCATTTACCTGTGCACATTCCTACCATGTATCCTTTCCTGAAAAGTAATTTATTCCATGATTTAGGAACAGTGAATCTTACAACTGTGGAGAGTTTTGGACTAAATGACTCCTTGGTTACCTTCAAACTTTTGATTCATGATGCCCACAATAAAAAAGTCAAAAATAGAGTATCTCAGATCCTCAGCTGTGTCACTCAGTGCAGAAGACCAGGTTGCAGGGCAGGAAACAAAGCTGCCCTTTTATGACTTGCTAATTACGGTATAGGTATAGGCTGGAAAATGGAGAAAAGTGCCTGCAACAGCAGATCAGAGAGGCATAAGGAACTTCCAACTACATCCCAACACCCTTTCACTTAAGATCTTTAATACAGAAGATCCAAAGCCTTCAAAAACTAGTGAGACACATGACCAGGGTACTACCTCTGCTTTGGGTTCATCTAATGTAGTGGTTATCAACCTTGTGGAGACTCAAGGCATCCTCGTCAGACTCGAGGCATGCCTCAGAAAATGCTGGCTCTTAGTTTTCTTTTTTTTTTTGACTACCGAAAAATAATAGAACAATTATTTTGTTGCAAAGAACTCAGAAAGACCACAGCAGGTCAGAATGCTTTAAATACTATGGGTTCCCATTTGAAATCTCTGTTTATCTTGTGAATCATGTTTGTACACCTGACAGTGTTGCCATTGCCTGGCACCCTTGAAAGGATCTCAGGGCATCCCAGAGTGCCATGTGACCTTGATTGAGAATCACTGACCTCACGGCAGGGCATTTTTTAGATGAAATATGTCCATTTCAGTTATTAATTGCAATTGCAAATCAATGTCTATGACAAGATAGCATCTAAAGGCTTCTGTGGGGCCTTGGCAGCTTCCTGGATTTATGAAAGATAGACTGTCTAGTGGCAGTAAGACATCCTCTCCCATGGTCTATGTCAGGGGCAGGCAATTATTTTGGGTGGAGGGCCACTTACTGAGTTTTGGCAAGCCACCGAGGGCCGCATGACATGCAGCCCAGGGCAGATAAATATTAATTTTCTAAAATTTTTAGGGGCCCCGCGGGCCGGATAGAATGGCTCAGGCCACATTTTGCCCACCCCTAGTCTATGTGCTAGTGCTACCAGGCAGACAAGCAGGGTTTGCCATGGTAATGATGACAATGGAGCAGGAATAACAAAACTCATTCAAGGCATGTAGAGGACTTCGCTTTTCATGCTTGATCCTTGCATAGAAAGGACAAACTCTAACCAGTCTAGGGGTTCTAGGCATGCTATGCCTATGTCCTACTATGGGTATTTCCCATGCTTCGGGTCTTTGCTGGTGCCCCCCCCAATTTTCTGCTACGTGTGTTTTTAAGCCTTCCCACTTTTTAGCCTGGATACAGTAGAGGCTTGGGATTTTGACCAGGGTGTACCAATGCTCCTGCTTGAAGCAAAGCCAGAAGTTCCCAGGTAGGATGTCCTGTCCGTCTGCTCAAGGTCAGACTGATCACCATATTTGGGGTCAGGAAGGAATTTTACCCCATAGTTAGACTGGTGCGGGCTATGGGGGCTTTTGCCTTCCTGTATAGCAGGGGCCTGGCCTTCTACTCAGGGCCTGTTGTGGACAGTCTACATGTGCACTTTAATGACATTAACCTATTTTAATATGCATTAAAGTGTCACAAAGTAGCCTAATAGAAGATATCAGATTTACCCAAAGAACCTTGTCTGCCTATGTCTTTAGACCAACACTGCTACAACTTATACCCCCGTAACAAAAAAGCCATGCTTTTTACCTAATACACATTAAAATAGGCTAATGTGCCTTTTTCTCACAATGGGACTACTCAATTTAATGCTCATTACCGAAAGTGCATTAGTGAATATATAGATGCACGGCTGGCTCTGCTGCTTTACCTGTGGCGGGTTAGGGTGTGAGGTCTGTGTTGTGTCAGGTCTGAGGGGAGAGTTTCGGTCACGGTTTGTATGGGGTGGTTCGGCCAGGGCTGATCCTGCTTCAGGCGGGGGGGACTGCACGAGATGACCTCCGGAGGTCCCCTCCAGCCCTCCTTCTGCCTCTGGTTGCGTGCGGGGGAGGGAGGAGGACCGGGAGGAAACGGGTGGAGGTCAGGTAGAGGGAGCCCGCAGGGAGCCTGCCCAGAGCGCTGCCCGCTTGCTGGCAACACCTGGGGTTACAAACCCGAAGCCAGAGGCCGCGCGGGACAATGTTTCGCGCCCCCCAGTTCCCAGGCAGCCCTAGGGCGGGCAGAGCGGGCGGGAGCTGGCGCGGCCGGGCCAGGTGCTGGGGCGCTGCTATAAGAGGCGCCGCCCGCAGGCGGCAGGTGCTGCCCGAGGAGGCGGGGGGCGGCATGGCTGTGGCCGGGAGCTTGCTGCAAAGGGTCTTAGAGCTGAAAGAGCGTCTCGGCCAGGCCCAGGATCCCAAGAAGGTAGCCGGCTGCCGGGCCCTGGCCGGGGCGCGTCCCGGGGGGGCAGCACCAGCGAGGCTGACGAGGCGTCCCCCCCGCCCCCGGCGGCTCCGCTGTGCAAAAGGGCGAGGGTGGGTCGAGCCTCCCCCCATGTGGCTCCCACACCTCGTGTCTGCCCTGGGCTTGCTCGGGAGCCGCTGCCTGGGCATTGAACCAGCTTTTTATGCAAGGCAGATCTTCACTTCTGTGCAAGTGAACGTCTCCTCCCCTCTTCTGCTGCAGGCCCATACAGCGGCTGGGCCCTTTGAAAACCCCCCCCGCCCGGGAGCTGGGGCTGCACGTGGGGCTTGCAAAGCTGTCCTGGCGGGGAGCTGAGGGGCAGCCTCTGAGTCGGGCCTTAATGCTGGAGGGCAAATGGGAGAGGAACAGTGGGGAAGAAACCCCTCTGGGCCCCTCTGCCCTTCAGCACCTGCTCTCTGCCCTGTGTGACCCAGGAGACTGGGCAAGACACATCTGCGGTGGCAAGTCTGATGCTCTAAGCTTAAAAGACAAGAGTTGCCCAGCATTTCTAACATGTGTTTGCCACCTGCCAGCTGGCTTTTGCTCACCTACACTTTATTTAACTGATCTAAGCAAAGGTAGAAGTTGCAGGATGAGGTTGATGGCAAATGTGGCCTGCTCCTTTATTTGCTGTGCTCACTGCCCCCCTGGGAGAATGGCCCTGATGGTTAATAGCTAGCAGTGGTGGCAAGGTGGTAATCCTACGGATGGGTGCAGTCCTGTTGAATTCAGTGCAGCTGCTTGCGTGCGTGAGGTGACTTCTGTGCAGAAGTCCTAAAAGTTCTGGGTTTAAGGTAAGTTGAGTCTTTCCTTTCACAGCTTTAGCTATTTTGTTTGCATTGAAAGGAGTGTAGTTTTGCTTGCACTAAATTGATTTAGTGAAGTGACTGTTTTGGATCCAGAAATAAAAGGATTAAATTAGAAACACCTGTTTTCTGAAATCTGGGTGCCTTCCATGACTGATAATGGGAAACCTGTCTGTAAGATCATGCTCTAATAAAATAAATTGGGGAAACTGTCCAATGTTCTGAAAACAAATAGAAAATAACAAATGAGGCAGAGTGGTGCCAATGAATAGCAATCATTGCAACCAATGACCTATAATATAATAGCAGATTTAGAGCAATAGCATCTGAGTAGCAATGTCAGTCATACCTGACAGGCAGAATAGAAAGTTGAAGTGCGATTCTTGAACTCAACTTGCTGTACATTTGATAATACATTTGAAAGCTCAGTAACACAAGTGAGCTTTATTGATCCAAAGAGAACAAAGAAAGACTAACTTAGAGGAAAAATGTTATTTTATGTCCCAGTTTGTGCAGGAAGAACAAACCTACTCTAAATCTTGAGGTTTCATAGATTTCATAGACATTAGGGCTGGAAGGGACCTCGGAAGATCGAGTCCAGCCCCCTGCCCCAGGGGCAGGAAGTCAGCTGGGGTCATAGGTTGTCCAATATTCTGTAGAATAAAGTGTTTGATTAATATTTATAAAATGTTGGAACTAGATACACACAGCCAGAAGTAAATCTTGGACAGACGGACCAGAATTAGCCAGTAGTTGGCCATTAAAATTAACCTAAGATGAGACTTCACAAGAAGGAGTATGATGATGATGACAGTCAGTAGAATCCAACTCAATTCCTCTACTAGCCAACATCTTCTATCAACTAATGGTTATTCATAAATATGCTTACAGGAAACTAAGCATAATGGTAAACAATTCTAACTTACTGTTTACTAAGTAACAAGCCTTTACTGAATGGAAATAAAGTAGTAAATTTGCAATAGATACTACTTTAAAAACAACAACAACAATGAATTCAGTTGACAAAGCAGCAAAATAAATTCCTGGTCTGAATCCTGAGGCATTGGGATTTGATACCAATTTGTCAAACAAAGCACTTGTAGGAATTGCACAGGTATGAATGTGGACATTATTAGTCCTGTGTAATCTTTATCATTGGTCTTGAGGTTGAAAAAACTATGAACAAAACTGTTTGGGAGGAAGAACATAATATTAACTGTAAGCTTACTAGATGCCCTTAAAGCAGCTATGCTGTAATCAAAAAAGACTTGATGGTAATGAAGATTTTTTTTTTTTTTTTTAAGAATCTCAGTTAAGAAAGGAAAAAAAGCCAGCAATGTGCTTTGTTTTTAACAATGGAGAAATGAGAAGTCTGATAGTGATTACTATAAATTTCTAGTTGTGAAAAGCAGATAATTGATAAGGGAAGCTAAATGTATCAATAAAAGCCTTATTACCTAATAGCCTTAGACAATAAAATTTTTTTAAATACATAAGGAATAAAAGAAGTCATAGCAATTTGCTAGATCCGTAGTATATAGGGACAATACAATTCTAGTTGAACTACGACTAGGAGGTGTTAAACAATAACTGCTTGCATTCAACCCAATTTTTAGGACTCAGTAGCTTGTACCCACAAGTATTCAAGGAACTGGTGAAGACACCCACGGAGAACTGATCTATTGATTTAAGTATATAACAAATCTCAATATATTGAGGAGGCCCCAAAGGAATAAGAAAACTATGGGTAAATTAAGTACTCTGATAAGGGCAAGTGAGCTATGTTGTCCTTAGAACAGTTGTGGAATAAGTGATAGTGGATATAAACAGTAAATATTTAAAGCATGGGCTGATAAGACTAAAAACATATCCTTATGGCAAGTCCTGTCAAGCTCGGTTAAAAAAAAATAATAAAATAAAAATAAATAAATAAATATCAGTTACTGAACATAACTGACAGGATAATTAGATTTTTCTAAGGCAGTTAATTTAGTTCCACATTACATACATATTCAAAGTGCAGCATGATGACATCAATTCAGTATATATGAAATGGGTTTAAACCTCCTTGGTAGGTCTCAACGTAATCATAAATGGGTAACCATCATCCAGTAGGCCTGCTTCTAGTTGGGTGACAACATGTCTGTCTGACTGCTAAGTTATATCTAGGTTCCATGAATATAGGTCACGTTATAAGATGGGGGACTGTATTTTTGAAAAGCAGTGACTCAGAAAATAAGTTGGTGTTATAGTAGATAGTCATTGAGCACAAAATTGCAGTAAAATGTGGTGGTTTAAAGAACAAATCCCTTCTTAGGATACATTAGCAAGAAGTAGGTCTATGCTTTTACTTGACACACTTCCTAGAATACTGTGCCCAATTCTTGGGGGAAAAATGATGTTGATAAGTTGGAAAGAGTTTAGAAAAGGAGCTACACAATTATTTTAGGTCTGGAAATAAATTAAAAAGATCTGAACCTAGCTTAAAATGAAAGCTCAAGGGGAGATGTGCTCCATCACAATGTCCTAAATTAGAATACTGGATAGTAGAGGGCTCCCTAATCTATCAGAAAGACATGGTGGCTGCATCCACACATGCGTGAATGTTTGGTTCCCCAGGGACAACTAGTGGCTGTGCACCTTGTGCTGCCACTACTTGTCCCAAGGGTACGCCCATGCCACACCCCTGCATGCACTGTTCTGTTGTTTTTCTTTCCTCTCCTGCAGGTTTTTTTTGACCCCTGGATATCCAGGAGTCAGCCTGTCCCCCCCATGCTGCTTCCTTGCATCATGGAGAACAACTGAATGTTTGGTATGTGGCACCCTAGACATGTCTGTGGTGCCATGTACCACATGGCCGCGCTTCTCTGGGCATCGCCAGTGAGATCTACTATTGAGAAACAAATTCAGCCACGTACTTTTGGAACAAAAATGAGTTGTGTGCTTATGTGCTTGTTTTTGCAATGAGTGCAATGAAGCTTGAGCATAATTAACATGAGCATGGGGTAGATCCTCTTTCGTTTGATGCTAATGTTTTTTTACATTAGATGCTTTATTTCAGTCAAGAATTGAACTAGTGCTTGATGCACTATGCTGGGGAGTCGGAGAAAGACGGATTCAAACTGCTTCTGGGTGAGGGGGCCCTAAAACCTGGTTCTCTGCCTCTCTGAGTAAATCCCTCAACCACTTGAGTATTGACACTAAGATATGAGAGGCTGTTTTCCTTTTCCTGCCTCCCTGCCGCCTCCCTCAACTGTTTTTTGGGACTGATACTCAGATGCACATGCACCTAACCATGTAGCTCCCAAGCCAGTATGTAGTCTATTGTCACTATATCCATGTTTGTGTGTCCACGCTGCAGGGGAAATAGCATCTTAATCTGTGCACAAATGGCAAAAATGCTACTTATGCAACTAGAAAACTGTTATTTAGACTCATAAGCAAAATCAAGTTCTACCGGTGATGTCATGGCTGTAACTTCAGTGTAGACCATAGACAGCTTGTGTTTGCTTTGACCCCTTTTTGCCTACTGTCTCTGTTGCCTTTGCTCTCCCTTCCCTGGATGCTTCTCTTCCCTTCCATGTCCATTGAAACTCTTTCCTTCTCTTGTTCTTAATGTCACTTCATCTTCCTGATCTCCTCAATTTTGCTCCAGACTATACCATGTTTTAAAATGTACCAAAGAAAGCAAATAGAGGTATCATAACCTTTGCCAACAATAACTCTGTTGAGAAGTATCCCCTTTTTCTCTCTTCTTTTGTCTGGTTTATTAAACTGCAAGCTCTAAGGGCAGAGACCATTTTTCTACTGCATCTAGCATAATGGGACCCTGATCGTGGTCAAGATTAAGAAAATAGAATTAAATACAGTTTGGCCTCAACATACATGCATGTAGTTATGGTTTGAGCAAGGCACCGGAACCAACGGTGTTCAGGTTCTCTGAGAAGATCTGTTAATTGAGACCAGACTAGAGCTTGCCCTCTCTGCATCTCAGTATAAATCCCAATAAATATAAAGATGCATCATTGGATTATTGTAAAAGTTAACTAATGCTTGTAAAAACCTGTAAGGTTGTTAGTGAGACCTTTCATTTTTTCCCATACCCCTAGGACCAAGGCTGTAAGATGATAGGCATCGGATCTTACTTAACTGAGTAAAAATCCGTCTTTAAGATTAAACTGATATGAAAGCTGTCTAGTATATTTATTTGACTACAGAGTTTCTGAACAAGCATCTGTATTTATTTGATACAAGCTACATTTTTATTTTTTCTTGATCCACTATGTATAGTATTTTAAGGGCTTCTGAATGAGATGGGAACAGTTGCCTCTGAGTGTGTTGCTGTAACTGTTCAGGCTTTGCTTTCTTCTGCATGGGATTGTGAGGTCAGCCATGTTTTATCGCCAGACTAGCAACTGGCATTTACATTGCCCATTTATAGTACAAGTAAATGGAGCTGGCTGTCCTGTGGTAGCCCCATACATAGTGACTGATCTCATTGCAGACTCAGCCATTCCATGCTTTCTAGAGAGCAGGAGGTGCTTCCCATAAAAGGGGTGTCAGGGAATCTGATTTATTCTCTCTAGGTCATACCTTTATGGCATAATGGTGTGTTATTGTGTTTGATTTATTTGTTAATTGTATGTTACACTTAACCCCCCCCCCCCCCAAACAAAGTTGGTATTGTAGCCTGGGGTGAAATATGAAAACTATAAATTGTGCATTAAACCATGGACAAAAAATATCAGAGTTGCTTGCCATCTAGATGCTTAAATGTTCTTTGTTGGACATACCTCTTCAAAATGTCAGGACACCTTTTTGTTGTTAATATGGCCTCTAATGGAACACGAGGTACCTGAAATCTTATTGTATATCCTGCTTAAAGATTTCTGAATTAACTTAGCCCCAAATCTGTAAATAAAAGAACTATTTTAAAGTCTCTTCCTGTACTGTTACTAGAATGAATTGAGACCTCTAATAAACACTGTCTCCCTTGCCCCTTTTTTTTTAATAACTATCCTTCTAGGCTGGATACACAGAAGGCCTTTTTACAAACCACCGGAAATAAATTTTATGGGAGCTGGTAACTTAGTTATACATGGCAAAATGTCTGTGTCCTTGCTGCTTAAATTACATTTGTTTTCTTAAGGAGATAACTGTACTATCAAAAGTTGTTTTTTTTTGTTTTTTAAGATCTTGTGAGAACAAAAAATATTAAAAATCTAAAATGATACTGCCAACTTGCTTTCTAATAACTGTGAAAATAATGAACAAGTGGGCTTTGTTTTATATCCTTTTGTATATCTTTTTGTTCAGGTTACTGGAGGAAGAGGACACTAATAAGAGTTCATTTTGGTAACCATGTCTTAAGTGACTGGTAATTGAGCTAAGCTTTGGGAATATGGTGCCTTCAGGAAAAAAGCTATCTTTTGAGATGTGAACTTATGTATTTGTATGTCCTAAAATTAAAATGAGCCCTTTATACCTAGCGCTTTTACTTGCTTCAAGAAAATCTTATTTTTAAATAGAGCTACTTAGAACTTCTAAAATGAGTGCAGAAGGAGTATGAATTACAGGGAGCTTCTTTTTTTTTTTCAAGGGGTACTGCTATGTTAAAATCAGGTCAGTTTAAAAAAAAAGTTTAAAGAAATTCCAGGTATAAACCTGAAAACTCTATAAAGCACATTCCTGAGTATTCTAGATAACTTCTGTGGTTTTAAGAGTTTCTTGGGTTACCAAAATATTGTTTCTTCCTTGTTTCAATATAAAAAATGCACACAAACATGGATACTGCCTATGTACAAAGGTAGACAGTGAAACTCAAGACACAAGGTTAAGTACAGTATGACCACTGAGCCTTTTGGCTAATACATAAATAATATAAATTAAAAAGTAATTCTGTTGGTACTTGTAACAATACCGGGTAAATGTCCATTTTAATATGCATTTTTAAAATGGCTTTCATACTAAGTCTGTTACTGAAACAAACTCCTCTCATACCTATACCACTACTTACAACAGGGTTTGACAAGCAATATCTAATGTAAAATTATAAATGTCAGTTCATTATGTTGTCTTAGTCAAAAGTTTATGGAGAACTGGGCCTTACCTCGTTTATATAGCTATGTAAGTTCCTGTCAAAATCTGCTTTGTATCTGTTTGGTCTGGATATAGACTTGACAGAGAACTTCTATCTCTAATACCCTAGATTCTGGATTTGTTAGAAGCACGGATCTGAATTTCTTGTGCCTTGAATCCTTCATCAAGTCTATCTGTACTTCAAGGAAGAAAGTGCAGTGCCATTCAAGGAAAAAAGACTTCATGAGAAACGCAAGATTTTTGTTTTTAGAAAGTACACATGGCTAATCAAGCAACTCCTGTGCACGGATTGCCTGGTTCACATTTTATGCTCTTTACAAGTCAAAAGAGACCTTTTCCCTTAGGAACAGAAAATCCATGTAGCCTCCAAAAATAAAGCTGTTATTGCTTTAATTGCCAATGACAAAATATTTAAGAATAAGTGCTCTCCTTTGGAGTGTGAGAGAGACGGTGCTACAGCTGTGTCATTCCGGAGTTAGAGTTGTAAGAGGACCAATATGATAACTGGGAGGAGACCGGAATTGCCTTTATATGGAGTTCTAATGGGAGAATTCCCTAGATGCAGCTTTTTTAATCTATTATCTTTGCACTGTGGGCTTCTTTAAGACAAGCATCTGAATTATCTGAGTAATGATTTTGTCTTCACTTGCAGTGAAGTCACTGATACCTACTAGACTTCTCTGGGGTTTTTAAGTTTGACGGTGCAGGTGAAATGCCTCAACTGAGCTGTACAGAACCCCAGCATAGTGAAGTTCCCATCCTTCTCAAATCGACTTTAGAGAAGGGGGTGCAGGTGCAAGGGGCAATACACTCCATTGTCAAAACTACTAAACCCATTTAGATTATGCAGATGTTTAAGGGCTGAGAATAGGAAGAGAAGAATAATATTTATAAAGAGATGCAGATGAACTGATCCTAATGTTTTTCTTTCAGGTCATAAAAGCACTTAAGGCCCTGCAGGGTCTAGATATATCAGTGGACATTCTAGCAGTAAGTAACACATTGTCCTTAATTCATTCTTATGAAGTTGTGTGGTATCTTCTGTGGCTGTAAGCCAAGGAAGCCAATGGTGTTGCTGCACCCTGTAACCCTGTAACCCATACAACAATATGAAAAGTAGTGCCAGTACTGAGCTAAGGTTTCTCCTGAGCATTAAGGAAATAGATTCTTTTTTTTAAGGTTGGGCTCCCTTTGCTAAGTGGAATGACCTCTCTAACCACGATGGAGACTGGATGTGTGTGGTTAATTATTTTTTTCTTTGTAAATTTGCACATACTTACTGAAGGATAGGGTGTTCTTAAAATTACAACATAAGGTTGTGTAGTACCACATTATTGTTAGCCATTAGTAGAAATGTTTTCAGGATGCCAGTCAAATTTTTATTTTTTCTGTCCTTCTGCTATTTTCAATAGGAGACTGGAGTAGGAAAAACAGTGAACAGTTTTAGGAAACATGCCATAGCTGGGACTATAGCTAAATCCCTGGTAAGCCACTGGAAAAAACTTATCCCCCCAGAAACTGAAAGGTAGGTGTGAACCAAATTTAGGTTTTTCAGATAAATAATTTTTCAGTATATTGTGTTGGATAAAAGCATACTCTAGAATAATGAAGGAAGCATGTGGAATGGCAGATGATAGAAGCAAACTTTGCAGAAATAAAACAGGTAGAATTAAAACCCTTTTAAATGCTATTTCGCTGGAAAAATATGGAAACAATTTGGCTGATTAATTTAAACATACACACTAGGGTCTGTCAGTCCTTGGCTGACTGATTGAGGAAAATGGCAAACCCAGTGAATGGACATCTCTGATTCTCTAGGGAAGTGGCAACTACACACCAAGAAGAGAAATAATGTGGTGGTGATATTTGTTTTCCATCACACCTTGAGTCACTTGATTCCCAGTCCTCCACATAGTCTTCTTCCATGGGAGAAAGAAGCTTCCTTACTAATACACAAGAAAAATAAATGAGTGGAGACCAGATGGGTGGAGAAATTTGACACCCTTGTAAACTAACACATTCCAGGCCAGGATGATAAAGCAGTGCAAACTGTGTAGCTGCCTCTGGTCCTGAACTGGTCAGGGGTCCTACTTGATTATAGGATCCATAGGAAAGTAGGACTGGAAGGGACCTTACAAGGTCACCTGGTCCAGGCCCCTGATCAAGGCAGAATCATCTCAGACTGAACCATCCTAACCAACTTTGTCTAACTTGCTCTTGAAAATTTCCAAGGATGGAGATTCTGCAACTATGTTTATTTTTAAGTAGAGTTCCAAAATCGAACTGTTCTAGGAGATTCCCCATTAAGTAAACACTACTGCTGATTTCAGGAACATTGCTGATTTTTTTTTTTTTTTTTTTTTTGATGACATGTTTATGATGATGTCACATTCACTGGCATTTACAATAAATTCCACTGAATTTTGTCATTCTAATGGGACCATAGCATAGGTCTATATAGGCCTCCTACAGAATTCTGCTGTCACTGCCTGATAGCAGAACCAGCAGGCCTGATTTAATGATACTGTCAGTAGCAGGCCAAAATTTTTCTAGACTAGTGGTCTTGGGTGATCACATTGGGGGTGAGATGTTTATAATCTTAAAAGCTTCATAATCGGTCATGGACCACTATATACCCTTCAGGGTTAGCAGTTGTCCATTGCTGAAAAGTTTGGTAAGTGTTATTCTAAAGCTTTTGCTGTTCTTTGCCTTATGAACTGAAAGCTTGAAGTCAGAGCTCCATTATCATTTGAGCTATAAATCTTGTTTCCATTGAACTGCAGATAATAGCAAACTGCACAGAACTTGGAATAAGCACTATATATACTGGAACTTGTAATGTATTACCTGTAATGTATAAAAATGACAGGTATACATAGTAAGATATGTTACCTTTTATATAGCATCATCAGCAGTCCTCATATGAGGAGGACAGGCTTCCAGTAAATAGGGGAGTCATCAGTGAGTCTATAGATGACTGAGGAGGTTAATCTGATATCTACATGTTCTACTACAGACATGGCAAAGCTTCTGGAGGAAGGAGTGGGTCCTATTAACATCTGGTAACAGATCTTTCCCATGGTATGCGTCTTGTCTCTCTATCTCTTCAGTGAGATGATTGTTATCTTGTTGTACATCATGCCATCATTGGAGGCAATTCAGTGCTTGTTTTTCAAGTAATGATTATTAATATTGCATTTCTTCAGACTGGCCTTCAAAGTGTCCTTGAATCTCTTATTTTGCTTACCTCTAGAGTGGTGACCATCAGCGAGTTGGGATTATAGGGCCTGTTTTGTGAGTTGATTGTCAGGCATTCTTACGACGTTTTCTGTCCAAAACAGCTGGTGCTGTATGAAAGTGGCTTCAGGGTTGGTACAATTTGCCTGGCCTAGAGCACTGTTTTTCTGTCCTTCCAATTGATATGTAGGCTTTTCTACAGGCATTGCAGATGATAATATTGTAAAGCTTTCAAGTATTTCTGAAATTTTATGTAGGTATCACATGCATACAGCAGGGTAGGAATGACAACAGCCGGGTAGATGAGAAGTTTGGTTTGGGACCTGATACCATGATCGATGAAGACATGAATTTGGAGATGTTGAAAGCTGCACCAGCAGGTTTTATCTGATGTTGAATATTGTTGTCTATATTTACCTTTTGGGGAAAAGTGGCTTCTCGGGTAGGGGAAATGCTCAACATTCTCCAAAAATTGTCCTCTAATTGTAATGTGTGGAGGAGTAGTTGGTTAGCTTGGTGGGTTGGTAAAGTATCTTAGTTTCTGTGACGTGGCCAGTGAGTCCAAAAATATATATACACTTTGCAGAAGCCATTCAGAGTGACCTGGCGGTTTTCAGTTGAGTTGGGCACACATGACACAATCATCAGTGACTTAGAGATGAGAATGGAGGTATTGGTCATCTCGCATTTGGAATGAAACCAATTGATATTGAAGAAATTCTTGTCCATTCAATACTGGATGTTGACTCTGAATAGAAGGCTGTCATCAGTGAGATGTAGAATGACTGTGATACAGATAGAAAATAGTGTTGGTGCAATCACGTATCTTTGCTTGATTCCAGTTCTGATAATGAAAGAGGCTGTTTCTAGGCCATTGCTTAGGCCTGCTGCTGTCATGTCATCATGAAGGAATCTGATGGTAACACATTTTAATAGGCATCCAGATCTCATCAGGATCTTCCATAGAGTCTCTCTGTTGATTTGTATCAAAGGCCTGAGGTCAGTTAAGACCATGCTGCAGTGTGGCCCACAGCACTGCTGCAGATGTCTAACAACACAAACCATACCAATGTACATCTGAGGAGACTGAAAAAGCATTGGGACTAGGGTAGAATCTCATCAACAAGGAAGGTGAATCTACTGAGATGACTGTGGATGAGGATCTTCCTAGCTATGGACAGTAGTGCTACAATCTGTTTTATCTCCTTTCTTGTGTATAGTAATGATTTTGGCATATCTTAGGTCACTGGGAGACTGTTCATGTTTTCAGAATAACAGCATAGAGTAGGTGAGAAATTCTTTCCACCTTGCTTATAAATTTCATCTGGTATTCTATCAAGACTACATATAATGTTGTTTTTCATCTGTTTAATGGCTTTCAAGGCCTCTTGATTTAGCTGGTGCATCTTCAAGGTAGTCCTTAACAGGATATTGTGGAATGGCTTTGATGGCATTGCTTTGACATTAAAAATCTGAGTTCTTGAAAATGTTCCTTCCACCCTGTATTGATAGTGGTACTATCTCGAAAGGGATTTTTGGACATTAGAGGAATGGCTCTGTGTGCTTGGCCTATAGATAGCTTTTGAATCTCTTTTGCCTTGTCCTTCTACCCGTTGTCTCTCTTGAATCTGCCTCTGGATCTTTGTTTTAATGTGCCAGTAACTGTCTGTCTTTGGTTTGCAGTTGATGTCATTCTGCCAAGCTTTGCAGGCTCTCCTTTTTCCATCATTGAGAGCTTGAATTTCCCTGTCATTCTCATTGAACAAGTCCTGATGTTTCTTTGTGGAGAAACCTAGAGATACTTTGCATCCTTCATGGATGCCTTTCTTGAGGCTCCCTCAGTGATCAATGGTGTCAGGAGTTTCTCACTGAGACACTGCAGGAGATTGCTTTTAGCAGGATCTGTCAATTTGACATTAAACCTCTTCCTTGATAGCTTTTTTTGTTTATATCATTTTGGGACCATCTGAATGGATGTGATGGACCATATCAGCAGTTGTCTGTGCTGGTCATAACTCTAGTGATACAGACATTGCAATGGTCCCAGGCATGAGCTATGACATGATAAATTAGGCGTCACTGTTTTGGATGGCGGTATTTCTATGATGTTATCTATTTGTTGTTTGGGCAAAATAGGGAGTTAATGATAATGAGATCATGTTCTAAACATTTGCTCAGGAGAAGAATTCCATTTTGTTTGACTTTCCCCATCCTTTCATTTCAAAATGTTTTGTTCCATAGCTCAGTCCCTGTCAGGGGATTTGTCTTCCTTGGAGATGGATGACAAGACTTGGTCAAGTTTAGATTAGAAATCTTTTTTTGTTTCATTAAGGTTTGGGGCATATGTACTGTTGCATGTTAACTGTTAGTTGGAGATGAAGGGTCATGAGATGCTCATTGAGGCCAACTAGATATTCCAGTATTTGAATAACAGTCTTGTTCTTGATAGCAGAACCAGTGCTGTGGACATGTCTTTCAGCTTTTGCTTTCCAAAAAAGGGTATAGCCACTACCAGGCTCTGTGAACTGCTCCTCTCCTATATGTCTGGTCTCACTAAGTACAGCAACATCTATATCAAATCCTGCAAGTTCTCTGGCTACAAGTACTGTCATTCACTTGTATTTTTATCCATCTGCTCCACCATGGTGTACCTTTATTTTCAGATCACTGTTAGTTTGGAAACCTTGCTCTCAACCTTTGCCATGGGTGACTGAACCAGGAGCGTACAGAACTCCAGGAGTGTCCAGAACTCCAAATGAACTCAGGCTCATTGGTAGCACAAAAGACTCTCCTGCATAACAAAGTTGAAATCCATGGGAGAGACTTCAATAATACTGCTTCTTTGCTGAATAAAAAACATGACTGTCATAATTATTACAGTAGAAGAGACTCAATAGGAAGATAGTAAACATTTTGATCAAAATAAGTCTTAAATCCTTATCTTTTCTTCAGATGTTACCAGTTTGAGCCTTGGGAAAATTGTACTAAATTGTGTGTCCTTTCAGAATCCCATTATACTGGCCTCTGCAAATTTATATTTGGCTGTTGTTAGTCTCTGGAAGGATCAGAAAAGAATAATGGCTGGTTTTTTCTTACTCTACATGACAACATGTGTTGGCTGGCTGGACCCAAAAGCTGCTTCACTGGGATCCTGTGTTAATATGGAAGAACCATCACAGTGCAGTACGGTTTTTGGATCCTCCTTATTTGTTATTGTGCGGGCCGGGAGTGACCCGAGCCCTTTTCCGTGCTGCACGCGGGCTGTGGCTAGCAGCCCGGGCACGCCGGGTCGGAGAGGGAAGGCCGTCGAGCTGGAATTAGGCACAAACGCTTAGCGGTAGTTTTAAAGATTGTTTACTTACACCGAGATGGCAGTGGTGTAGGCTGGAAAACTTGCTTGAGTTGCGGTTACAGACAGACAACACAGACGGTCTCGTGGAGGTTGCTAGGCTCCATGGTACAGAGCTCCGGATGCTCTGGGTGAGAATCGTAGGTACGTCTTATAAAAGTTGCGCTCGAAGATGGGAAGAGGTGGGCGATGGATCAGGTCGCCAAACTCCTCTGAATCTCACGCAGGGTTTCTATTACCCTGTCGTGTATCCAGAGTCCCCACGAGATGGATGTGGAGTCCTCTTCGGCTTGGGCGGAAACCGCTCAAGCCTCTTATACGGCTAACAGGCCAATCACTAGCCGCCACGTGGGAATAATTTAGAACTAGCCAATAGCGGGGAACGAATTTACATACCAGTGGCGGGAACTCTTTTGCACCGTGCATCCCTCTTGCAACATGAGCAATGCACCCTGCAAAAGAAGCTGCAAAAAAGGCGGGAAACTCGTCCCTGCACCGGGGTTTTCCTCTGCAACAGGAAACTCTCCCGTGCAATGAAGCTGCAACTTGGCGGGGATAATTCTGGTGCCGAAGCACACACAAAATCATGCCTTTGGGTCATGACAGTTATGAGAGACCTGCTGCAGTGGGGAGATGCCCAGCCTGCTCATCTCCTGGGATCTGCAATCAAGAGTGATGGGTATAGGCACTGAAGGATGCGGGGTTGCAGCAGGGCTGCAAATCAAGAAAGGGGATAGAGGAAAAGGTTGGGTGCATAGAAAATATTTGGTAAGTGTGTGGAAAGATCTACCAAGGCCATTTCATGATAAGTTTGTAGTGATTCTTTTCCATCAACACACAGTTAAAACAACCACCCCCTTCACCCTCTAGATCCCCCCACCAAATATTTCTTGTCTTCTGGAACTGGTCAAATTCTCTCTGAGGAGCACTAAGTGGATTTAGGACTTGCTACTGGTTTTAATCAGTGCTATGATTGGTTGCTGTAATCCTCTCTTTATTTTAAGGGACACTGAAAAGAACTTTGGGTTAACTATGTGGGTTTGAATTTGTAAGTTTAAAAAAAAATTGGAAGAGATTTGTGCTTTTGCAAACATTTAAAGAAAAATAATATAACTAGTCTATAGCATCTGCTGCAATTTGACCACTGAAGCATGATGTGTATCACCTTGAATTTTCAGTTTAACTCTTACAAGTAAAGGATTAGGAGGGTATCCTTTAGTGATCTAGCATAAAAATGGTGTGAAGTCTCATTCTGTCATTTTGTATTGCAGTGATCACAGTGAAAAAAAACAGGTCACCAAAAAAGTGAGAGATGAGAGAGGATCATCCATTTCTAAGGAAGACAAGCACTCTGAGAAATCAAAAGCATCTGAATCATCCTCAAGAGATGGTAAAAAGTCTCCCAAATTGGATAAACCTAAAAAGGAACATAGTTTTGCAGAGACTGAACATAGAAATAAGGAGTCTGAGACTCCTAATGGATGTGAACATAAAGTACACAGCAGCCATAATTCTAACAACACTTCCCAAGGCATCAATCCTAAAGATAAAAAAAGTGACTGCGAAGAAACAGTCCTTTCAGCCAGCAAAAAAACTTTGGAAAAGCACCATTCTTCTGTAGCTGACAAAGACTCACCCTCAAAGGAAGAAAAACCTAGTAAGGATGTCTCCAAACATAGAAACTTTGAGCATGCAGGAAAACTAAAAGAAAATCTTATGACGGAAAGCAAAACAAAAGTACCAGGTGATGAGGACTTCGAGCCTCCTACCATGTCTTTTGAATCCTATCTTACTTATGATCAGGTTACAAATAAGAGAAAAAGGAAAGCTTATCCTAAAAGTGTACAACCAAAAATTATCAAGTGCTGTGATAAGAACACTTCATCCCAAAAAAGCTCAAAACTCCTTGTCACAAAAGAGGATGAGGAAAAGCCACAACAAACTGAAGATGGTCAGTCAGAAACACCTGCTAAAAAGGTAATTATTGTTTCATCAAGCTGACCTCAAATTAAACACTCAAATGAGCACTTCATTTATTTTTTGCAAACTAATTGTTGCGTAGTAAAACTTTAGATGCGACATGCCTGTGGTGCAAACCACTACTGACAGTAAATGGGAATAATTTTTTGAGTGAAAGGGGTCTGATTGATTTCTACTTAAATCAAATTAAGAGGTAGATGTTAAGTTGCTAAATTGATTGTTCGTTTTAGCAGAATTTCTTTAACCAACAGTAACTCAAATGCTTATCTAGTAGCGAAAGGTAGTCAGAGTAGGGGAAGCTCAAGAACATTTTTCTTTTCTTGTTTTTGTTTTTGTTAAAGAAGAAGATACAATCTTGTTTGCAAATGAAATGGGCATTCAGTATTGAATAACAATGACATTCTTTGGGGATTGAGGATTTTTTACTGTAATTGTAGGCCTACACCTACTACAGTTGCACAATGAAAGTTTATTCTTATTCTTTTAAAAAAAAAACCCAAAACCTCTAACAACACCATTTGTTTTTTAAGGTTACAAAGCCATGCGCTAAAAATAAGGAAATGCCAGCATAGAGAGAGGTTGTTGGCTTTTTTTTCTTGTTTTTGCAACCTTAATTTTACCTCATGGTGTTATGAAAGTCTTTATGTGAGCATATGTTGCTTTTATTCTTCACACAACCTCTGCCTAATCTAGGCCCTGATCAGGAAAACATTCTGATTTGGGTAATCCCTTAGGCATGTGCTTTACAAGCATTTATATGCTGAAGACCCTTTTGAAGTCTGCATAGCTGAAGCACAAATTTTAAAGCAGTTTCTGGGACCATGGGATGGGTTTAAGAATATGCTTAACAGCTTATCTGAATTGGACCCTGTATATGTTCAAATATCTTTATTTTCATCTAGCATGTGATAACTCCATTCCTTATTTACTGCACAGGATGCAAGATCTATGCTGCAAACAGCAGTATTAAATTCCTCATGTGATGTCACATAGGGCACCAGTATATTGGTCCATATTGGATTGGCACCAGTAAAAGTAAAATTGACATTATTGGCTATCAGCTTTTTTTGGTTGGTGTAGCCAATAATGTCATCTATTAATGCCGTCTGCATGAACACAGCCACAGCTTGCACATGGCCAGGAATGCAGCCTGGCAGCTTGGAGAGCAGTGTCTGGCCGGTAAATCTGGTGGTAGGGATGTGGGGGAGGGAAAGGCAGTGGGGGGATGCAGATTGAGGCCCACCATGTTGAGGGATGGAGTGGGGCTGGGGCAGAGGCAGGTGCTGCCCAGTCAGGGCAGGGCACAGAACAGAGCCACAGGCGGCTTGTCCAGAGGAGTGCAGGGGTGGGGGTGTGGGCAGGGCAGGCAGTGGTGGCACTAGGAGGGGGGGCTATAGCCACCTCAGAATTTGCCATAGCCCCCACTTCCAGAGCCACCACTGCCTGCCCCCGCCCTCCCCACCGCCCCTTCTACCCTATGCACAGCACTAGCCCAGGCCCCCTGCCAGGAAGAGGATAGCACAGCCCATGGCCCCAAGCCCACAGCAAGCAGCCTACCTGCACCCTGCACAAATTCAGGATGGCACATGCCCCCTGTGCCTCCCTCACTGCTACATGCACTGCTGAGGAGCTGTCTCCACTCCTCGCTCCCCCATGCCCTATAGGAAGCCACCTGCAGCTGTCTTGAGCCCCATCCTGCCTTAGCTGGGCAGTGTCTATCTCTGGGGACCTTGATCTGCACCCCCCGCCTCCCCCTCCACTGCCCTTCCCTCCCACACACCCCTACCCCCAGACTTACTGGCCAGACACTGCTCTCCAAGCTGCCAGGCTGCATTCCTGGCCACGTGCAGGCTATGGTTGCGCTTATGCACCCAGCATTTATTGGCTGACATGGCTAGTTAATAATTGGCCATCAGTATCAGCCAAAAAAATCTTTGTCGGTGCACCCCTAGTGCCTATACATGTGCAGTGAAGCTGCTGTGACACGCTGCAATTACAGTGCATCAGAGCAGACTCTATTAATTGAGTCTGCTGAAGTGTGGTAATTCCCACACTCCAGCAGACTCTAGTGTCATGTATCAGTGTCCCCGTGCTGAAAAATGGCAGCAGTGGCGTTATAACTAAAGCTCATTGAACAACCTTTAGTTGAACACCCCTGCTGCCATTTTTCAGCACGGGGACACTGATACATGACACTAGAGTCTGCTGGAGTGTGGTAATTACCACACTCCAGCAGACTCTAGTGTCATGTATCAGCACAGGGACACTGATGAATATGGCGGTCTGGGCGCTTTCATTAGAACAGCTTTTGGAGCTGCTCTAGTTGAAGCGCCCTCTCCCCCCGCTCCTGGAGCACATTTATAAATGCTCATAGATCCCCATAGTTACTTTTTGAGACCTGGATGATAACTTATTCAATGCTTTAGTTATTACTAAGGAAAAACTGTTAGATAAGGAAAAATGAGGCTCAGTAAGAGCCCAAAACTGCCAGAAGTCTTGAGTGACCAGTGATTGGCGCACAATTAGGATGCCCAGGGTTTGGGTTTTGGCATATTGCTAATCTGACTTTCATGCTGCCTTTTAATGACAGTGGTCAGTACACCATCTTTAGAAAAGCTTAAGAGTCTGCTGTATCAAGTTGGACAGGAATGCACACTTCAGGTGCCTCCAGACGATCTGCAGGCCCATCTGTGGCACCACAAACCACACACATCTCATGTGAAGGAATTCAGTGTGCTGCTAATTTGCAGTGCAGCAGGGTTTTTTGACACTGGGAGATTCCGGTATCAAAAAAAAACCTGCACCAGGAAAAAGCAGGGCAGTACATGTGACAGCAGCATGCAGCATCTGAAACTGGATGATGCAGCCTCTGGCTGCCGTTCAGGCTCTGCGTGCCCGGATCACTCTTGCTGGAACCCTAGGAGGCCCCCAGGACCCCAGGTAAGTCCCTGCCCCACCCAGGGCAACTGGCCACATGGCAGTGTGTGTGCAGGGCCATTCCCTGGAGACAACTAGCAGCAGCACAAATGTCTGAAGTCTTTTTTTGTGCATGATAAAGCTTGGGTAACTAGTGAATAGAGAGAGGTAGTCAAGCACATTGGTCTGAAGTTAGGCAGAAGACAGGGCAGGGTGGCACCTTCATTCGGTTTTAACTGGTTCAGAAATGCATAAACGTTCATAGCATTCTACTTTGTTATAGCAACTGATGAAATTGGTTGTTGCTTACAAAAGCCTATACATTTGTGAATGAATTGGTCTGTAAAGGCCCTGCCTTCTGCCTAACAAGTGAATGAAAGGAGATATTGGTAAGTAATTCATAGTTATGGTGAACTGGTAGTCAGTGCAGGGGCAGCAACAAGTCCAGTTAGCCTGGAATATTTGTTAGTTTTTGCTTTAGTACTTCATGATATTTGTCTAAAGATCATGACTTTGAGATACCAAAATGGTGTTTCCTTGAATACATGTAGGCCAAGACAGCATCACTTCAAGATCTACTTAATACTCCACTACCTAAGTTTCTACCAGAGATATCAATATCCTCTCCCCCCTATGCCACTGATTTTAAAGGTGAGTACCAGTAATATGCAAGACCTGTTATGGGTGAAAACAAAAGACAGCACTGCTAGTAGACTAGTCCTGTTAACAGAGGGTTTTTATAGTTCTGCCTCTGGGCCACAGTGTGTCCTTACGAAATGAAATAAAAACTTCAGCCTGTGACAATGCAATATCTCCTCCTTATCTGACTCCTGCACAGATCTGCTTTCCTCTGAAAGGAGTATATGAAATGCAGTAGACAGTAGGTATCACCAGGGATCCTGTTTTTCTGATAAGAAATTCCAGATTCTCTGATTTAAACCCCCCAGAATCCATGATTAAAATGAATGCCGCCCCCCACCCTGCTTCTGCCCCTCAGTCCTTCCCACAACTCCCCCCGCAGCCCTCCTAGTGCCCCTTGCGCCCCACCCACAGCTCCTGCTCCCCCAGTCCTGCTGGAATGGGCCTCTAGCTTCCAGGGCTATGGCCAGGGACCTGGGTCTGCAGCCCCCTGCCCCTGGCAGAAGCGGTGGTTGGTACAACAATGTAGAGCCTGGCTCCTAGCCTGCTATAGACTTGTGGGGGGCGGGGGGGCAGATCCCCACTGTGGTGCATGCTCCCAGAAGGCAGGGGAACCTGTACCCGTAGATGTGTGCGGGACAGGGGCTGCCTGCTGTGGGCTCCAGCCCTACTGCCCTACCCCAGGGCCTCCACAGTCCAGCACTGCAAAGAAGAGCAGAGCTGTGCAGAAAAAACTGCCTGCTGCTGTGAGCTCCATGCTGCCCTGGTGATGCATCTGCTGTGCGCCACTGCCACCACTGCAGCCATGCCCGCAGGGGACTTGTCACCAGGGCAGCACAGAGCTCACAGTGGCAAGCAGCTTTCCTGTGCAGTTCCACTGTTTGCAGCATGGGGGTGCATATGTTGGGCTGCAGAGGCCCCATGGGAACCCAAGCTTGAAGTGGGCAGCCTGTGCCCATGCCACGTGCACAGATCTGGGGGGCATGGGTCCCACCTACCTCTCAGGAGTGTGCACAGCACTAGGTAGCAGCTCTTGCCTGCAGCAGGCAGCCTGCCCCACCTCGCCCCTGCCCTGTGCACAGGTCTGGGGGGGCATGGATCTCCCTGTCCCCCAGGAGTACATGCAGCAGCAGGGAGTCAGCCCCATTCCCTCGCCCCCCCGGATGAGCTACCTGTTGCCCTGTCCCACTCCCTGTTAGGGCCCTGCGGCTGTGCATTGTGGCCCCAGGCACTGCCCAGCTGTGCAGCAGCTCCAGCCCTGCCCAAGTCCGTCCCTCCCTCCCGTCCTATGGGGGCCTCAATGCCCCCCTGCCACTTACTTGTGGACATCAGTGACATGTAGGGGGTGCACGTGTACCCCCTGAGGTTGGCAGTGCACCCCATGGCCTGCGTGCAGTTGCTGCTTGCCACCCCCGCTCTGCTGGCGCCATCTATGGGCAGTCGCCGATCACTGCTGGTGGCGTCTCGGTGGTTGCCAACCACTGGTTGGCACTTGCTCCCCCCCCCCGGCTGCAGCTGCCTGTGGGAGCTCCCTGCTTGCTGCCCCCACTGCTGCCTGTGGCCAGTCACCATGCCCCACCCCAGCCTCTGGGAGCACGGGTTCATGTCTGTGGGAGCTGCTCTTCAGGCTGCCTGGTGGCCATGTGCATATAGTATACGCGAACTGCGCCCCCTGCCTCATTGCTCTCCTCCCAGTCCCTTGAAGGCTGGAACTCAGCCAACCTGCAGAGGGCTCATTGCAAAACTGCAAAATACACAGGTTTCTCCACTAAAATGAAAAATCCGTGTTTACCTCTGGTAAAAAGGTAAAATCCATGATTTTTTTCCATGGGAAACAGAAAACTCAGATCCCCGGATATCGCAGTCAAACCTTGTAGAATCCTAATCTTAAAGATTGTGAGAAGGTTTCCATGGATTTGGAAGGAAGTTTATAAGGGAATTTACTGTATTGACCCAGGCTCAGTACAGCCTGTGTATTGAGCCTTTTCTGTGGCTCTTCTCTATTTTCTTCTTGTTGGACCTAATAGCAGAGGGGAATTAGGATTATTAGTAAGCAGTCCAGATGACACAGCTAAATGTATGTTATTGTTGTTGTTTTTTTAACATACTACTCCCTGTTGGGGAGTGTGATGCAATCAGCTAGTATGCAGGCTCCTCTGAACAGTGAGTACCAAGTCTAACTTAATTCTGTCCTTGCAGTACTCTGATATTTCAGCTATGGACTTCTGTATAATAATTACTATGTTTAACAAATTACCATTGTTTTCATGATGTATTGCAATTGAAGCATACCTGAACAACTTTTAAACTAGTAGGTTGGATACGGATAGCAATTATATTAATGGAAGAATTCAACAGTGCCTGCAAAACCTGTCTGAGGAGCTGGGTAAATGCTTGGGCACTTATATGTAGGATGCCATGACTACAGTGCTGTTAGTACTTAACCTAACTGATTTGGGTATATTTCTATGAGCCACAGTTGTACCTTGTTGTAGTGTTGCCATATCAATAGGCAAATGTATGAAGACTACACCATGAGTCAGCTTTTACTTGTGGCATAAATCAGTAGCTGAATGCCATATTTTAGGTGAAAGGTGCTGTATCCGAAATGGAGTTTGGAACCTGTTTAGCAGAGCTTAATGTTTTAAGAAAAATGGTAATTCCTTTAGTAACCTTTTTTTTTTTTTTTATATGAGTGAAGTGCATCTATGTCTTTAGGTTGCTTTTAATCATCTTTAAACAGCCACGGTATATAGAAGCAATCTCTTCTTTTAAACTTTTGTTGATAGCTTCCATAATGCCAGCCACAGAAGTACCTGAGCAAAACAGTGATACAAGCCAGTTCACAGGACGGAGACTAAATTCTAAAATGCAAGTTTACTCTGGTTCTAAAACAGTCCATCTCTCAAAGATGCTAACATTGTATGAACAGTGCATCCGTGTACTTCAAAACAATATTGATTGTAAGTATTTTAATATGGGCTTCAACAGGTTGAGGGGTGTTGTAAAGCTAAGTTTTCAACAGTGCAACAGTGAAGAACAATCTTATATGAAGTTCCAATTTTTATTAAATTGTAGAGCCATGGCAATATAAATATTAAAAGATGTGAGCACTTGCTTTTTCCCCATCTAGATGTGCTTGACATATCTGCATTTACCTGGTATAAACTGAGATGAGTAGTCCAAGTACTCCACTTGATTTTAGCCAAAAGGCGGAGAAGCGGCCTTAGATCAAAGTACTTGATCTAACTTATGTGAGCACTCCCCCTTTGGAGGGGTGACATGGGTAAAGATAATACAATGAAGAAACAAAGTTGTCTATTTTCAGGGTATAATCAGACCTTGCCTTTGTGTCACCATAAAAATGTTTATGGCAGCACAAAGACCAAACAAACAGGTGTCCATAGCCCTTGTTAGGTCACAAATGCCCAAAGTTTGTGGCCATGGCATAGGTAGTATGGAGTGGACATCTTTCCTTTAAGTTGGGACAGTGCAGGCAGCTTAAAGCTGCCCACACACTCTAGGCACTCCTAGAGTTTCAGGGGCCCAATCTTGCATGCTGCAGGCACTCCTTTGCTAGCAATGAAATCTTGGGTCCCACCCCCCGCCCCCATTTATAGAGGTGTACCTCAAGTCAGATTCCCTGGAAACACGAGGTTTCCTCATTTGTAGAGACGTGTGCGTGAGGAATCCAATTTTGGGCACATCTCTGCTAATGGAGGAAACCTGTGCTGCCCCATTTGTGGAGACATACCTGAGTGTTGTCCCACAGGATCAAGCCATTGGTGATGTGCATTTCACCCAGTGAAGCAGTCTGCTGTGCTGAGGTGCATCCCAGCACAGTTGACGTGTTTCATTAGAATACCACTCTAATGGTGAGTACAGAATGTTTTCCATAAGAAACTTAGAATACCCAGACATCAGAACGCATGTCATAGAAGGTCTGCTAAAATAGTCCAAATAAATCTGATTTAATTTTTATATAACAGCTATTTAGTAAGTGATGAACCTTATTTAATGGGTATACGATAAAAATACACATGACATTTGTTTTGTTTTGTAGCACTACATGAAGTAGGAGGAGTGCCCTTTGAAATTCTTGAGCCTGTGCTAAGACGCTGTACACCAGAGCAATTATTTCGAATAGAGGAATGTAATCCGGTAATGTCTTTCCTTTTAAATGCTTTTGTATTTGGTACTTCCACTCATAGTGCTAAAATTACTTCGTCAAACAAAAAAAACCCTGGAAGCTGAACCTGATATTCCCCCCCACCCTTTTTGTTTTTTAAGGATTCCATTTTTTTCAGAGATGACTAATTGAAAAAAGTGATCTGACCTTGTATAAGGTTGATGTTGGTCTAGATCAGGGGTATCAAGCTCCTCTGACCCTATGAGCCAAATAAGGTATAGGAGCTGCTCGATGGGCTAGATCAGATCCCTGGACCAGCCCCATGTGCCACATGCAGCATATGTGCTGGTCCCAACCCCACACACTTCATGTGACACTTGCACCAGACTGGCCGTGTGCACTGGATTCCGTGTGTGAGGCTAGTTTGTGGGCCTGATCTAGATTGACCCCAGATCCAGCATTTAGGATTGCTCCAGTGCAGGGTGACTGGTTGGTTGGTCAGCAGTCCCAGGCTGGAGTCTGGCAGGAAGGCTCAGTGGCATGGTGCGCCAAGCAAGTGGGCGGGCAGGCACTGCTGCGGCTGTGCAGGAACAGGGCAGGTGAACATATGGTCACCCTACCTAAGGTGCCATATCCAAGGTCTCTCCATTCTTTGTTGCTCTACCTCCTTGCCAGATTCCTGTCTGGGCTTGTGAGCAACTGGCCAGGACTGATCTATGGAATCCAGGACTGTCCCAGCCAAACCAGGATGTATGGTCATTCTAGGCATGTGGCAAATGCCAGACCAGGTTCATGCATTGCATGCTGTACAGAGGGCTAGGGCATAGGCACCTCTGCCAGCTGGATGATAGGGCTCCACAGACCATACCTTTGACACCTCTGGTCTAGAGTTTGGAGTTCTGTGCTGGGTGGGACAAAATTAGCATCCGTTACCTACTTTAGAGAATCCAGTTGTACAGGCCCCTGCCGCACATAGATGCAAATCAGGTGGATACTATACAAACGGATGGGGTTTAGAAGTGGTGGGTATTTTTAGTTCAGCTACATCTCTAGTTCATCCAGTCTTTTGCCCAGGTCTTACTTTTTCATTCTGGTTCACTAATTTTTATTTTCCTGCTTCTTTCTTGTGAAGTTAGTCTCTTATCTGTTACTTCAGTCTTTCACCCCCATTTTATGTACACTTTATTCCTACTAGACACATACCAACCTCAATATGAAAGAAAAACACAAATGGTGTATGTAGGCAGCACTAATTCAAACGGATCAAAACAAAACTTAGGTAAAAGTTGGTATCTCTTTTTAGGTCCAGAGGGCTTGGTTCTTACCTGTAAGGTTTTTTAACTGAATAACTGCAGCCTGTTTATGGGATAGTTTAATATAACTCTTATGCTTCTTGGGCTTCTGATTGAAAGCAGGGAGCGGGGTGTGTCTTGTTCTATGCTATTGTGAGGGCAGAAGGAGATCTGACAGACTGGAGTGATCAGTATATTGCTGTCTCCTTTGAACAGCTCTGCGTAGGCAGTTTCGGTCCGAAACTGGTAAACAGAGAAAGCAAGAGTATGAGGGAAGCAGACAGCTATGTGTTGGTTTTACCATGGAATCATGCAGCGTATCAGTGCTTTTTCCCTGCTTATTTGTTCCTCTTATATGAGAGTCCCTACTGTCTAAACTAATTATCCATTATCATACATGCTGACATCCTTGAGTTATGCTGTAATTATTGTGCTTGATGTTTCTACTTTTTTGGCTATATCTCAGTATCTGAAGCACCTGGGGAGTTGTTAATGTTGAGAACATGGATGTCACTGTAGGCAGCAATGTAAAAAAAAAAAAAAAAGATATTTGAAATCATACCTGTTATTGAATCTATAATAGAACCAATTATTTACTTGTAAGTGAAAAATAATTGCAAAAATGAGGATCTTAGGGGTAAGGTTTCTTGCATAATCAAACTGATACCTTTTGAAAATGCATATGGTACACGAACTTTAATTATGTTTTTTCTAATTTGGGATTTGAAAGTCAGGATGCTTGTATACCTAAAACCAAGCACTCAGTCTGCCTGCAATATAGCATAACTTTTTATTACTGGTATAAGCTTCTGGCCTGTTAAGCAGTTTGGAATGGGATGTTGGCTAGAGTTGCTCTGTTTACCAGTTTTAGATCAGCATAAAATTATCAAAATTGCTTATATGACTTAAGTTTCTAAGTTATGTAGGCACTTCTGAAATTTTCCCTTAAATCTATTAATAATCTTAAATACTTGTTGCTTCAAATTAAGACATTCACAGAAGAATCTGACCACTTGTGGAAGAGACACTGCCAAAAGGATTTTAAAAATGATCAACTCCTGGAATATGAATCATGGCGTGAAATGTACTTGAGACTTTTCAATCAGAGAGAAGAAAAACTTAAGACACTTACAAAAAATATTCTTTCAGCTCAATCTGAAAAACCTAAAGGTAAAATCTTAAGGTAGCTTTCTGGCTGTAGCAAGCAGCTGGGAGGCTGCAAACAGCTGCACTGAGGTCCAGAGCCCTGATACTGGCTCCATGGTGGCGGTGGCTGCATGTGCACTTCCAGACAAATGCTGGGTAAGGAGTCGGGGCAGTGCAACTCCAGCCTCTCCCCTGCCATCCGCCTGGAGGCATGTGTGCACTCGCTGCCAGCAGCGAGGTTCAGGTCTCTCACGGCTGCCCCCGTCTGTCCCTGGTGCGCTAAGTTGAGGCGTGGGTCAAGGTTGAGGTGTCTTTGGCACTCTGGCCAAAAACATGGATGATCCCTGCTCTATAAAGAGATGATTTGCCTATTACATGATAATATTTTGCCGTTGCTTTGTTGGTATTTTGGCATCAAGCTTTAAATCTGCCATTCTGAGTTTCGATAAAATTTGAAAACCACGTTGTCACATGATCAATCCTAATGTCTCTCTTTTAAATATCCATTTGATTCTTCTAATTTTACAAACACTCCTCCCCTTGGCTTTGTCAGGGCGTCAAGTTAAAATGGCTTACGTAAATAGTGTGGCTAAACCACCCAGAAATATTCGTCGGCAGCAAGAGATCTATGGGACAGCTGGACCTATTCAACTTCATCCTACAGAAAAGGGCAAGTGAGTGAACTGCTACTCCATTATGGACCTGACAACCCCCCCCCCCCCCCCCCCCAACTTTGTTTGTTTGTTTTGTTTTTAAACAAATATTTAAAATATATAAGGAGCAGCCATCAGAAACTCACATTTTAGGCCTTATTAAGCTCCTCTGGTATAGTTCTCACCCCTGCTCTATACTTTGCTCTGAAAGTGCAGTGCTGTGTTGTGATCTCAGTATATTCCAGGTGTCTTTTGCCAGTGCCACAGTCAAAAAGAAGTATAGGCTGACCTTTCTGATATGGCAGTTTCTTTTAAGGTCATTTAGATTCAGTTTTCAAAAAAAGAAGAATTTGAAGCACAGGTTCTAAAAGACACTGAAAAATCCAAAGTGACACTATCACTAAGCATCCTTTATGCACAATCTGACATAAATTGTGATCCCTTATTTCTTTTTGATCTATCGTTAATGTAAATTCTGAATGGAATATAAATGTAGGTGGAAAAAAACAAACTGTTAGAAAGAAATGTCATGATAGAACTGAAATTATGAAGTGTGCAAGTTTCAGGAAACAATCTTAATTCTTCTTGAAGCTCATTTTTCCTTATTATGTTTGAATAGACTGAAAAATCCAGAAAGCAGAGACAGAAATAGCACCTTGTCGAGTCTAAACTCTGCCAGTAGCAGTGTAACACCTGGATGTTCCAGTGCTTGCTCAAGTGGTGTGAACCCGGATGTTAAAAAACATATCAAAAGTGAGTAGATCTTCAGAGAGGCTATTTTAGTGCAATTTTATATTTTCTATTCAGTGAACAGGGATGGATAATGGTATTACTCTAAAGTTATGTTTGTCTACTAATTTACAAGCAAACCCTAATTAAAATGTCTTTCTTTAAAGAAGTCGCACCAATGATGAGGAAAACCTTGAGAGCTTTCAAGAATAGAGTTGGACCACGATAAACTTCAGACACTCAGTATCTTAATTTGTTATCATTGCACTTGTTATAACTATTGATGTATAATATAACCAGTATTCATTTCAAGTGGTCTAATGAATAAAGTGGCAGAATGTGCTCAGTGGCTTGTGTTTTAATTAACCTCCTGATTTTTTTTATTTTATTTTTTTTTCCCCAGAGTGCTCCTTCCCTTTCATCCATGAACAAGAAAACATAGTTGAAATGAGGCCACTGTAGAGAAGTTTTTAATAATCTGTGCCCGCCTCCGCTCGATCAGGCGCTCTCGGGCTGCTCTAGCCCAAGTGGCCGTTCTCACTGGCCACGGGCTCACGAAAAGGCCCCGGGAGGTGCCTCGGGTGGTGACGGGAGGCCCCCTAACCTCGCCTGCCACGACTCTGAATGTAACTTCAGTGGTGGGGGCCTCCATTGATGCCGCCTCCCGGGGCGTTGCGCCTTCGACGGGCACTCACGGGGCTCTGACCTCCCCTATACCCCAGCCAATCGCCACCTGCTGCTGCTGGTCTTCTAGTGGCCTTCCTCCCGCGGCCCTGCTGCGTTTCAGGTCCTGGATCTCCCGGTGGTCCTTATTCCGGGGACCCAAGCTACCCAGGCTGGAATCTGCCTAGGGGTTTCACCCCTCCTGGTTTCTTGGCTGCCCCTAGCCCGTATGGCCCCAAGGCCTCCTTAACACTACAACTACGAGCTAGCCAAAAGAAAACGAATACTGAAACTACACCGATGAGCGCCCCCTGGCTACCGGCTTGTCAGGAGGCTTAAGGCCACCGACTTCCCCGGGTGCCTTCTCTCGGGGCCCGCGGCTCCCTCTTTCTGGTAATCTTGTTTCTGGAGATCTCTCTCTCTCCGAGTCCACTGCCGGCTCCCTGCCGGCCCGTCTGTTGCTTCTCTCGCAGGGTCCACACTCGGTTGCCTCACCGGCTCCGCCACCCGCACTCCTGCTACGACTGTAGCCAGTTCCTCCTCCCGTCGTGCTGTCAATGGTGTCTTTCTTTTTATCCGCGGCTCCCTTTAGAGCGCAGTCCTTACTGCTTTATC